AGCCATTAAATAGCACGTCCATTCCGGTGAGTATTTTTTGATAAGAGCATTTTTATAGTTCTTCATCAATAAAGTATCAAGCGTGAAATGTTTGGGAGCTTCCACTGCATGGCTATCTTGTTTTTCCAGCTGCCGAAATATCAGCGCCAGGGCCACTGAATAAATATTAATGTTCGCCACGTTCGATCCGCTTCTGGCGCAAATCCAGAACAAAAACTGAATTTTTAATTGATGCCGCCGCACTATTGATTCCGGGCCATAATCGGAATCACAAATACGGGAGTGACGTCACTACTGTTGGAGGAAGAGCACCGACCGACCGGCCATGAGGAGAGTGAATATAAATTCGGTCGACCTAGCAAACCGGCGACCAACATCCATTTTTGTTTCTACGTTCGTATTGATTCTCGGGCTGAATCAGACAAAACGACGGCAACGAGAGTGTGTATGTGTGACTGAGGGCGAGAGAAAGAGAGAGAGCTTTGATGGCTATTTTTTGTCAGCCGAGTATTCCCAATTGCGCTCTCACGCGAGCCTTTTATCCCAGGGTGTTTGTGTGTTTGGAAAAAATAAAATTTACACCCATGTCACCCCACTGCCGTCCCGTGACCCAGCCCTGCGGATCCATCTGGGTCGCTGGTAAAGCAAGCACACCCATAAATTGATTACGCATGTTTGCGTTGGGCAAATTGAATTATTAATCAACTCTGGTATTCTCATTATTTTCAATCTGCTTTATGTCCGTAACCAATTCAGCTCGTAAATATGGAAATCACAGACATCCATGAAGTTCAAAATATAATATTTTTTCTTAAATATTAAAAATTTTACTTAATAATGCGAGTTTTTAATTTTAATGTCTTGGGAGATAATAGATAAAAAATTAATTATTAATAAACTCAAATTTAGTTTTCGTTTTCATTAAGTCTTTGGGTTAATTTTGGCATATTATTTGATTAGACAGGTGGGTGCCGCCAGCAGAAGTAAATTAATCTTCCGACGGGGAAAATTGCTTCTGAAAACAAACGGTAATCTCTCTTATCCTAGAATGCTCTCATAGGTTGAGACAAAAAGTAATTTCCCAAGCCTGATTGCTTTTCCCCGAAGTTATCCGTGCACGTGTCTCCAAATTTTCCGGCAGCAGTCTCAAGCAGCGATTTGTTGTGCAGCGAATAAATTTCTCACACCAGATTCGGCTCGATATTCCCCTCGCCTTGTACAACACGGCGCACTAATTTTCCATTCCGATGGAATTCCGCGCCAAGCACGTCCTCGATTCTCGCGTGCCTACCAATCCACTTATTGTTAATCGCCAAATCAAAGTGGGAGAATCCATTATCTGGCTGCAATTGTAACCAGGAAAACAATCATGGAATTCCAATTAAGGAAATTCTTCGAGAAATAATAGTGCACGTCATTCTTCGCAGAGTTGCAGAAAATTTGCATAATATTAATGTGTGCGCGGTGGAACTGGAGCGGATAAGCCGCATACAAAATTTCCCCTGAGAACTGCGGCAGACTTGTATTTGTCTTCGCAGTAGTAATACTATTAGCTTGTAAATAAAGCTGAGCTTAGCGCAAAGTTTCGGTGGAAGTTTGTGTCGGATGTGTGTTACAACGCAATAAGAGCAAAGCGAGAAGTATGAACTGCGAGAACTGATTCACTTTTACTCAGAGAGCCGTCGGAAAATCCGGAATTTTATCTCCGTGCAAAAAATCTCATTAAAGGAAACAGGGCAGCAAAGTTTGGTGGAAAAGACTTGAGCCGCAAACTCCGGAGGCAAAGTTTTGGGACAACGGGAGTGTTGTTTGCTCAAAGCACATCAAACGAACGAATCCAATTCAATTACGCCCTCGCCTCCCCCCGCGCGACTACGATGAAATCGGCAAAAAACACGCCCGTTTTGCATTATCACGAGAACAGTCGTGTTTTTCCGAAACGATCTATTGTGAAAAGTTGGCCGTGACAAGCATGAATTTCCCAACTTCGCATTCCACGCGAGCGGATTGCAGGCAAAAACGGCTCCCTCGGTTTAAAACTGCCTTTGACACGCGTCGACCGAAAGGCAAAAGGCCTAAACTCGCGAATTCGCCCTCTTCGTGATAGGATTGTGCCGCTTTGGCGTCTATCATTTCGCGCCGTTTGCGGGCAAAGTCGGCCTCTCTATTCCCACATGGTGCATGAAATTTAATATGCGGCCGAAATGTGGCTGCCGCTGGGTTTACGGACGGGTGCGCAAAATTTTGACCACTTACCAAGCAAAATATTGTAGTGCCGCTCAGCTAACGGGCAGTGAGCAAACGTTTGTTTTAGTTATTTCAGACGGCGTAATCGTGCAAATGTGCCAGGATATTTGAATATTCCGGCGAAACGCTGAATCTACAATTTGTGTTTACGGCTTGCTAAACGCTGGTGGAACGAGATAAAAACAAAATCGCCCACCCTGACCACGCGGCTAATGGATGAGAGCTTTCGACAGAATTTCGTCGTTGTCTCTGCAAATATTTAATATTTGTAAATAATGCTCTCCACTCTGGATTTGCAGAATTGGATTTTAGTCAAAATAGGTGATCCATAAATACCTTCTATGCGAGAAAAGAGCTTATTTTTTACTTTTAAAACTACATAACGCAAATCAATTTTTATTTCGTCTGTTTATGGAACAAATTTTTACTACGAATCAAATAATTTGTCACACAAATGTATTTATAAATTTAATGATCTTATTTTGTCACTAAATCTGTCACTGCCATCACTTCTTTCTTTTTACAGATATGGAAATTGGAAATAATTATTTTTTTTTTAATTTAATTGAAAAAAAAAAACATTATTCAAACTCCCACGTGGTGTTCTGAAATAAGAGACCGCCAAGTTGAAACCGTTAATCTCCATGGCGAAGGGTCACTCCTGTTTGTTAAGCTATGCAACCTGTGCGGCTTCCGTGAAAAGATATTGTCTAACTCTTAATTTACTATGAAGGCCAGCAAGATCACGTTCTAAACTTAAGCACCGCGGGGAAACACCTGCAAGGTAAATCTTTTGGGACTGTTTTCATACACGGCTCGTTGAATCTGTGTCCTACTGGGACTAATGAATCAAAGTTATAGTTACGTAGCTTAGAGTTTCACCAACTCTTGTGGACGTAAAAGAATCTTAAAATAAAAACATTTATTTATAGTTAAAAACAGTTATTTGTTATTTCATTTGGAAATAATGAATGAGTTTATTTTTATCTTGCATCTCTTTATAAGGGTAAAAAAATTATTTAGAAGTTTCTTTCCAGTTCAAAGACTAATTTTAATTTTCCATCCAATTGAATTCAAATGAGGCATACCATTAATGTAAACGGCAACACTTTATTGCATTGCGCAATTCGTTTTTCCGCAGTTAACACGTGTCCGCCAGCGATACGCAGGAAAAAATAATAATCCTCGGTGGTGTGGATGTGACACCGACAGTCGGGACGAGCGGAGGAGAGTGAGTGCTCGCCTTAAAAGGAGCCCATAAAAGTTCGCGCTTGGAAACTCACGTAAAACCACTCCAGCGGCGCAGCGGGTTTTTCTTTCCGCCCATCCACCAGCGCCTCGCCACCACTGACCGTCCCGATTAGAAAAAAACAGCAAAAAGCAAACCAATCGAAGCTCCAATTACAAGCCCATCCATCTCGGAGCCTGTTAATTAATTAGCCAGCAGAGTGGCATTTTTTTAACGTGATGGGAAAAGTTTAAATTGAATTCGCCTCAGTGTGCATCAAATTTTAACAAGTATTCTCACAGGGCAGCAGCCACCGTCGGAAATTGGCTTCAACTAGCCGACTCTTGCAGTGATCGGGGATTAAAGTGTAATCTTCAGTTCGTGTGCCTCGTTTGTGCCCGCCAGCTTAACGGCTGAATTTGGGCGAGCAGAGGAAAAAAATAATGATTGAGCTCTTTGCGAACGAAACTTGCACCTCATTAAGAATAAAATTCACGATCTCATTTATAAAAGAGGAGTCTTGAAAAGGCTTCTACCCTTTGAAACGTTTCCATCGACTTAGTCAGGAACTGAAAAAAAACGCACGTCAAGGATGGTTCTGCGTTATATTTTATGCAAATGGTTGAATGTTTTGCTAATTAAGAGTTTTTTGTTGGCCGAGTTAAGTTTGCCATCAAGAAATGCTAATTAGTCGTCCCGGACATAAAAAAGCTTTATTCTGCATAATATACTTAAATTTATGAATAATATTTTAATATTTAAAAACCCTATAATTCTGATTCGTTTTAGTTCCAGGAGGAAATTTAATTCAAAAGCACCATTGGAAGAAAAGTCGGTCTGAAACCCTTTTATCTTTTTCCTTCTAGAGAAATCATTTGCTATTCAAATATATTTTCCATAAATTTTCCGATTTCTTTGCAGCCAAGCGTCGACCTCTCTCTTTTTAAGGGCCGAACTCTTCTGCAAGTCATCGAAAGGCATGCGAGTAAAAAGGGTTCGGAGACCACGTCAGATGTGACTGCTTAGAAATGCGAACGGTATCAACCCTCACTTGAGTGCATCAACAATCTGGCCCAGCATTAATATTTCACCGGCATACGACCCTCGTCGTCTCTTTGAGCGTGTAACCTGTTTTGGCCGCGGCATATTCAAGACCCACCTCCCGAGAACGCCACTCTCAGCATTAATATAAATGAGCACTTAACAGGGCTGGAAATTCAACTTATGCTGCGGTTTTCTGGCCTTTTGCGGTTCCGCACTCTCACTGGAGAGGTTATGTTGAATGCTGTTCCTTACCAAATTTACATGATTGTTTCAAAATAGATCCGTAAAAGGTGGGAAAATGAGTAAAGTCATGAAAGGATTCAACATGAATTGCCAGTCAAACCAGCAGGTACTCCAAAATTTACAATAAAATATTAAAAATATTTGTAATAATTAAAAGCAAAAACTTAACAAGAGAACAAATAACTATTTTTGGAGAAAATTTTTGAATTATTAAAAATTAAAAAATTTAAGCACCAACCTGGATCCTCGGGACTGAATTCCTTTTCTAACTCTGCGAGCTGATCGTCGGCCAGTGTGTTGTGCGTTTGGCTCAGAGGCGCACTGGGCTGCGAGTGGGGCGGTTGAGCAGCGGCTGGCGGGTTGCCGGCGTCACGAGCGCTGCTCTCGGCGGTCTGCTGCTTCGTCTCCTTGCGAGTCTTGTGGCCCCTGAACGCTGCCTGGATTTTGGTGGCGGCCCCTTGAACTTCCGGGTCGTCCAAGTCGATATCTGCGGCACCATTAGGTTGATTAGTGCATGTTTCTTACCGACTCATCTACATAGTGACACAACAGGACCACTCATTCACTCAATGCCAAGTACATACGCGCATTTTTTTTTTAAATATTGCGTTTAAAAAAAATAGCTAGTTTACATGTTTCCGACAACCCTACTTTATTATGGAGTAAAAATATTTCATCTCTCGGACAGAAATACCATGGTGAATAACAAAAAGCGAAAAAATCTTGCTTCAAGAATGGGCTTTTTAGAATCCAAAAATAAACCAGTGTATTTGATTATGCACATGAACAGGCCATCAATTATTCTCAACAATCAAAACAAATTGTGTCAAACACTAATATGGTGTTTGTTACAAGACATGTTATAAAGACCGAAATAGCATTTTTATTTATTTGTTTTCAATTATACTATTGAAGAACTACCTTTTTACTCTGAAAATAAAATAAATACTTAAGTGAAAAAATCCCTTTTAAAATCCCTTTTTCATTGAAAGAAATAACAAAATATTAAAAACCTAACCATTTTTTTGGTTTGTGAAAATATTTAAACTTAAATTTTAATCACAAACAAATCACACAGCTCCTTCAATGATAGGCACAGGCCGACAAGACCAAAAAAATAAACAAAAAGTCTACATGTACATTAGTTTTTTTATACATTAAATTGGTTTTACGATATTAAATTTTGCATTGTGTATATTTTGAATTGACATGAATCATGCGAACTTTTAGTTCTTCAATAGCATTGAATAAAAATAAATAAAAAATTTTTTCAGCTTTTTTCAGACTGTATAACATGTCTTGTAACACACTATATTAGTGTTTTCTGTAAACATAATATATGCAGCAACGACGAGCGCGACCTTGTTTGTCAAAATGGATTTCAGCACATATACAAGAGAACAAGTTACGGAATATTCCCTGAGCACTGCTTGGAAACAAGAGGCCGTGCAGCATTGTGTCCTCTCTTTGTGCAAAACAATATGCAGTCCCTGGTGCGCTATTTTGATCTACAGTGCGTTGATTTAATGAGATCAAACGCAGAGAAGCCCTTATAGTGCGCAAAATGCGCAAATCTTTAGCGTGCGCACTGAAAGGAGGATTCGGGCGGATACGACCCGCTATTATGCAATTACAGCTCTTTTGAGAGGCAAAGCTGATTGGCTTTTGTCGGGGAATATTACGAAAATCTATTTCCAGGGGCCTTTGTTCGAAAGCTGCTTTTGTGTGTTCATGCTCGGAAATTATACGGAATATTTAAAGCACGTCGCTCGTTTTAGACTTCGAAATTAGTTATTCTAGTAGAATAATCCAATCGCGCTATTCATCAAGTTTTGAAAATGGACGAAGAAAATCTCAAAATTTTAGCAACTTTTCTATGCTTATTTACAAACGTTTGTAAGAAAAATGAACTCTTAACAGTGGGCGAGTTATAGAGTCAAATATTTTATATTTTGAGGTTCATGGCCTCAGCAAACAGTTAATAGGAAACACAAGGAGAAATTGGCCCTTTGTGCTGGCGGTCGAGGGTAACAGTAGCATAATGGATACATATAAGCATTGCAAGGGCTGTGGGAGAAACGTTTTTCTCTTCTTTTTGTTAAGAAACAAAACCCCGAGCAGTTCAACTGAAACATTCTTTTGTCTTTGGCCGCTCTCTGTGCTATTGATTTTCCACGCCTGGAAAAAAATTAACAACCAACTAAAAGCACAAACTCGTGGCAACTTTTTCGTCTTGCGAAGCTCATAAAATATTCGCCTTTTTTATTGTGTGCTGCCACCTCCACCGCACGGTTGGAAACATTTTTTATCGGCCCTTGGCGCTTGAATATTTATCTGGTTATGCTTTTTGAATTGCAAAGTTTTTCGTTGGCAACACACGAAACGACTTAATGCACATTTCATGGTTTGCATCTGAAGCCGAATCTCATTTAAAGTGCAAATTTTTATAAAAATATTCACATTTTTCATATATTTCGGGGATAAATAAGCCAAAAAATGTCAGGTAGAATCAATATATTATAGAACTTTGCTCAAGTAAGTTTATAAGAGAAAAGAAATAAAATAATTGTGATAAGCGACGCCCTTAACTGATATTTTGCCTAGTAGGTCGAGTGTGCATATGCACGCGCTTGCAAAGAATGCCCAACTGGGAGCCGTAAAGTTTGCTCATCAACTTTAATATAAAAACTTTTTGCCCTGCTGCGCAAATGTGTCAAGCGTTTTTTCGGTCTCCTCAACTTTATTTGCGTAGCTCGCTTGCTGCTCCTTCGCTTGTGTAAATGAATCCCAAAGAGATATCTCAACCAAGAAGAGGCGCCTCTGGTAAAAGCAAAGCTCGTCTCTGTAAATCATGGTTAGGGCCACAAAAGCAAAGTCCCCTTTCTAGAAACTGCTGCACGTTTGATTTTTTCCAGCGCTATATTTCAGGAGCTGTTTCCGGACTTGCAATTCCCCTTGGGCGGGTATTCTGGAAGTGGTTGGCATTCCTTACACGCGCAGTGCGTCTGCTTAGCAAAGTTTAGCAATTAATATCCATTTTTAAGGCATGACTTAGATGGCTCTCGTCGGGATGAAATGTGGCTTCAGGCTCTTCAGAGAAATTCATCACTTTCACAACTTTAATTTTGAAAAACAAACTTGCAGTGAGGATCTTAACTGCCATTGAAACACTCAACACACAAGAGTAAAACACGCAAAATTTCCCGAACGCCCAATTTAAATAAGGAGCTTAATTAAGTAAATCAACCAAAGAGTAAATAGTTAATTGAATTTTACTTGATCATGCTCTCCATATTTTAGGATTAATAACTTTGAGAAAATTATTAAGATTTTTTTATATGGTACTCAATCCAAACAAAAAACTGAAGTTGGAATAATCTAATAATAATTTGAGTAGGGTCATGAAAAAATTAATTTGAATAAACTCTATTTTAAACTAAAGATTAAATTACTTAACAAGTTAGCACAGGGTATACACATTTAAATCTATAATTAATTATAACATATTTTTCTTCTTAACAGACATGCCACAAAAATCCTGCACGCAAAAGTGAAAAGTTTTCTTTGAGGCTCTCCCTTTCATTCTACGTTTTGCCACTGGCTAGGATGGTTTGACACACAAGTTTTGGGGCTGCGGAAAAGTCGATATGCGTGTCGCAAGTTTTGTCCCCCAAACTCTTCTTGTTCGCGGCACTCTCAGATATACAACTTTAGTGCGCGTCTCCGCCAGTGTTTAATCTAAAAAGTTTTTGTTGACACTGTTTTAGGGCGGATTGCAATCGCTTGCCGATGGGACTCGTTCGACGACTTTTGCTTTGCGCCGCCTTTTGAAAGCTACTTTCAATGATCAATCAATCGACTCCCTCCGCTCTGCCGACTGCAAAATGATGGAGAACGTCCTCAGCGTTGAGAGCGATAAGAAAAATGACCACGCTGCTGGTCTCGGAGACGTCGCACGGAGGTGGTGGCTCCATAATACCCTTGATTGCTCTTGCCAGCTAGGGACTTATTTGCCGCCAAAATAAAATGCGATTAAAGGTATTTTGGGCTGCTTCCTTGATACATTTAAACAAGGATTTGTCACGACTTTGTTAGGGTTCAAAGGCTCAAGTCGCAGGTAATGGAAGTAAACCCACGCTTGTCTCTCAGAAAAAGGGAATCTTATCAAGTGTACGCGTCTTGCCAAAAGCAATTATTGTTATTAGATTAGGGCAACTTTCGCGCACCACCCAGGGATTTAACAAAGTAAACACGCTGCATCCAATTTTAGAGGAGGGCAAATATAAGAGGATGAGTTCCGTATGTGGTAAGAAAAAAGCTGGTTTGTTCGGAAAAGAAAAGCAATTTTCAAGGAAATAAAGTTTGTACAAAGATGCAGCATCTGAACTCTGTCCACCTGAGATACTTTTGAAAGAGCATTAATATATAGGTCTGAACATTCAGCGTTTTATCTTCTATTTGCGTTTTGCAAATATAAGATAACAGGCAGTTGGCGTATAGGACCAATATTGGAATCTTCCATTTATTTCACAACATCATACTTCTTAAGAGAACTTCTTAAATAAATATATAAAACGAGGAGAATTGATTTTTTTTTTTCATTTTTTTTTTCTTTGCAACGAGGTTTGCCCGTTTTCAATTTTTCATGATATCCACCTCGAGTGTAAGGATTCAATTTATTAATTCGCCTGTAATAAAGTTTATCACCTTTAACGATTTACTAAAAAATTGACGCATTCGTGACGTAAGATATAAAATTTTCAGTATTTTACGTGAAAATTTTCTTATCCATACATGCCTATTCTTAAAATAAGCAGGATTATTTTATTCTTAAAGAAGAAGAATGTTTACTTAAATAAATTCTTTCTTCACAAATAAAAAAGCTTGATTAAAAGAAACAAAGGAGAAAGGATCAAGCAAATTGGGTGTCGGAAGCCCCATTTACTCACGATAGGAGCAGCAGGTGCTTCTTCCAGGAACGCGCGGTGCTTCTAGAAAGGAGGCTGCAGAGCAATTGTGTCCCGGGTTTTATCTCTCTCTTGCGCGCTCAACCGGTCGGTCAGAGTCGGTGCAGCTCGCTCGCTCGCACTCCATACCATGAGGGTAGAGCCCAAACCGAAAGCAGGAGCACCAGAGGAGCGCGGGTTTTCCTCCAGATCGATACATACATACATCTCTCGCCGTGTTTTAGGCCCTCTTGCAGTTTTCAACGCCTCGTCGTGCACACAGCGAAATTGACCCTCAGCGCGACACACTAATGGAATTCCTATCTCATTTGGTCACTAATAATGGCGAAACTTAAACACCCCTTGACACAAAAGGAGAACAGGAAATATATCATTATCTCCATCTGCATTTGAAACACTGGCCTTAATCAAAACGTAACTCATTCTCTTTGAAAGCCAATTTTAATTATGCAAACTGCTGATCTGGCATTCTTTACAAGATGGAATATGCATTATTACACTCGGATGACTGGTTATTGCA